CCTTCCTTCCTTCCTTCCTTCCTTCCTTCCTTCCTTCCTTCCTTCCTCCCTCCCTCCCTCCCTCTCTCTCTCTCTCTCTCTCTCTTTCTTTCTTTCTTTCTTTCTTTCTTTCTTTCTTTCTTTCTTTCTTTCTTTTAAAGATTTTATTTATTTGACAGAGAGAGACACAGCGAGAGAGGGAACACAAGCAGGGGGAGCGGAAGAGGGAGAAGCAGGCTTCCCGCGGAGCAGGGAGCCCGGTGTGGGGCTCGATCCCAGGACCCTGGGATCATGACTGAGCTGAAGGCAGATGCTTAACGACTAAGCACCCAGGCGCCCCGGCTTCATTCTTTTTCTGATTGCATATTTTGCTTGTCCCGACCAGGCCAGCAGACATGACAAAGCCCAAGCCGGGCACAACTGTCTAGCCCTGGAGTGGCGAGTGGGGCTGGGGAGGACAAAGTAGCACATTCTGAGGAGATGACCCACACCTAGAGCAGCGCTTTGTTTGCAGAAATCACGCCACCCCTCCCAGGATGGCGGAGGCAAAGGACTTGCTGACAAGTTGAGGTGAACCAAATCCTGGTTCCCGGGTTGGAACATCCTGGCTTACCAGTGGGTGAGGTTTGCTTGTGGAATGAGCCCCCCACCCCCACCCCACCCCACCCTCCGTCTCCAGTGTTTGCCTGACTCCTGCTGGAGCCTGCCTGTCACAGGCAGATCCAGTGACCTTGATGTTCAGGCCATGGCTGGTTACTTTGCAGAGCTGGGTCAGGAGGCTTGCCCATCTCTCCTTCCTTCCTCCCCGGCTTTCTCTCCATTCCATCAATCCCCCAGCCCTGGGCTCCCTGACTCTCAGGCCAGTGCTCTCACTCCCACTATTCCATGGTTGGGTTATTCAGAGAAGCAGCTTCTATCTCTAGGCAGCCCTCACCCTGGAGGATGGGGAGGAACAGAGTGGTACTGAGATCTGCCTGGTCTTGGAGGGGTTTAGGGAAGTCACAGACATGACCTTTGGCCTGATCATCCTGCTGGGGGTGATCCTCATGAAGGCCACAGCTTAGGGCACAGCAGGTGATCTGTAAGAGCATCCCCTAGGGCTCATCAGATGACCAAATTTTGATAATAGATGTAAGTTACATGACTTCAATTCTGGAGGGTCAACCTTTCCGTAACTCTGTTTTCTCATGTATAAAATGGGGGTAAATTTGCAGAGCTGTTAGGAGAATCAGATGAATTAACACCTGGGCCTGGTTTGTGGTCGATTTTAGCTGTTATTATGATGTCTTAGTACCAAGTCCTCATACAGGGCTCTTACTGTTCAGTTATTCCCTGTAGACCCCCCCCTCCCCAGCCCTGCCCAGCAGGGCGTCTGCTTGTTCCTGGCTGGGGAGCAGCCTCTGCCCCTCAGCTGTCATGTACACTGACTATCTGGGGAGGGGCAATCCCACCGCAGAGCTATTCATCCTCATCTCCCCGGGACCCCCAGCTGGTAGGGTTTGCCCTTCACCCATCTGGATAAGAGAGCATCTTGCTCAGACATCTTCAGGTTGATGAGGTTCCCAGCTCACCTTTCTCTCCCCCTATCTTCCACCCGTCAGGCACAGGCGCAAGCTTCCAACTGCCTACCATAGGCCGTTCATGCTCTCACCTTAAGGTCAGTTCTGCATCCAGAGCTCTAGTCTGACCCCTGCTGGCCTTACCTTCTCAGACATTACCTCACTGAACAGGAGAACATGCTTCCATTCCCGCCAGCCCTAGGCCAACCCAATTAGCCTGCATCCACCAACAGCAGTTCGTCTGAACTAGCCCTCAGGGAATGCCTTGCACGCATCACCCAGAGTGTGTCTTCGGAAGCTCCTCCATCCTGGGTCATCACCATTTGGTGCAGCCCATCACCATATTCATGGGGTGTCTTTCTCCCCTCCCCAGGCCAAAACGAGCTCTTGGGAAGTTTTGCAAACTCATTCATTCTGATGCATAAGTGACTTTTAGGACTTAGACACTGAGGGTTAAAAGACTTCCAGGTAGCCAACCCTCGTGCTGCGAGCTAAATGCGTGCTACAGTGGATGCAGTTGGTTGTCACCATCACCACCGTCACTGGTAACATTTACAAGCACTTACTATGTGCCGGGTGAGATAATCGGCCACTGGAGAGTAGTGGTCAACATCTTTACTGAATCCCTACCTCATTTGTTATGCCAAAATTCCAGAATTTTCAAGGATTGCATGGAATGTAATATAACTTATGCTGAGATTTGTGAGCAGGTGTACATTTTATAGCCCCACATATAATAGCAAAAGACAGGAAACCACCTAAATGCCCACCAACAGGGGATGAGTAAATAAGGTAGAGTATATCCGTTTATGGGATATTCTGGATGTGTGAAGAAGAATGGGCTTCGGTCTGTAACTACTGATAATGGAACAATCTCCAAGAAATAAGTTAAAGAGGGAAAAAAGCAAGGTGTAGAACAGCATTCAGAGTTTGCTATGACGTGTGTGGTGAAAGCAAATCTATAGAAAGGCTTACGCATGTGACCTTGAGTAGGTTACTTCCCCTCTTCCAGTCTCCTCCTCTGTAGGATGGGGAGTAATGGCACCCAACTGCCCCTCTTGGGCTGTGGTGAGGATTGAGGGGGATAGTGCCTGTGAAGTTCTCAGCACAGGTGCCTAGCACAAAGCAAACCATCAGTCGTGAGGTGCCGTACATATTCACCTCTATTTATCACTGCAGGTCCAGTATATTCAACTAAACTATGCACTGTGCATCAGGCCCCTAGCAAAGTCTCGACATACAAGAGCAGTGGGAGAGTCAGACGGTGGACAGCCCACCATAACAATCCGGG